AATGTTAAAGAGTTTGTGGGATTTTATTGAACTACGAAAAACATCATTCCGTGGATTAGTGTTTTTTAACCGGAACAAACCAAAAGTACAGTGACCACTTGTAAACGACAAACTAGCATTCAACAAAGTACATATGTATATAATACAAACATTGAACGAGAAATAATACATTCGAATCTTCGGAACTAAGCCAATATTTTGGTCGTAGATCTGGGCTTGATTCTTGGTGACCAAGTCTTTTCCATTAATATAAACCCACTTCTCTTCTCTTTTCTACTTCCATCTTAAAATATTTCAACATATCAAATACATCTTTAAAATAATGGATCGAGAGAATTTCTATTGCTGGTCGCATATTCCTCTTCTTAGCTGTGTCATGAAAATTATTTTTCAACTTTTTACGTCCGATTCTGGTGACACAGGCAAAGAAATTATTGATACAGCGACCGTAGGAAAACTGGCAGCTCGGAAACACTTCGGAAAAGTACACTGTATTAAGCTCGGTTAGTGTATTTTGTCATTTAAGGCATTAACAATGACCAAGCATTCATGATTAAAACCGCAATCCAAGTCTCCTAATATTAGGATCAATCTTTCAACTACTAGACCACTACGAAAATACGATGATGATTCTCTCAGGGTTTCATGTAGTTGAAATATTAAAAAAAAAAATCATTATGTATCTATTTGTGCAATATTAGCTTGTAACCACTAAGTATTTTTTGTTTTTCTTCGTATATATTGTGGTTAATGATAGGCTTCTACGAAATCTATTTCTTCTTTGTAATAGAAAAAGAATATGTATAATCTGCCATATATATATCCTTTGTATCAAAATGCTCTCTATAAATTAAACTCAAATGACTGTGTGTGTGGAAAGGATCCAAAAAATCAAAAATATGGAGTTGGTTCGATCACTATGTTTGATCAGTGCTATCACTGGTCAAATACAATTTCTGCCCATCACTGATCATATCAATGTTTGTGAAACGACCTTCGTCTTTTGATAATATCACAAAGGAGCCTTCATTCGATAGCCCGAGCTCTTGCGCAGCGGTTTCTACAAGTTTTTGGAGATCGCTCGGGATCCAAACCACAACTCCGTGCTTTCTATTACGCTCCTCTTTCGCCTCGCGCGGGTGGTATGGGAAAACAGTGCATTTTCGCCTCTCAATTCTCTTCTCTGTTTTCATACACACAAGCCAAATTCAGTGATTACAATGATTCATTATTTTTAGTTGTATAGTGTGAAGGAAAGTATTCCGGTACCTTGTAGTTGATGAGAGCTTGACGGGTAGACAGACGACTGAGCGGTTTTCACATCTTCGAGTAGCTTAATCAATTTCTTGTTTCCACACATTCGGGCTTCATCGAGCGGAGAATTTCCCCACCTTCGAAGATAGGATTTATGAAGCTAATCAAATTTAATAGTAAACGATATAATGATCATTTTGTATGACTTTTACCGGTCTTTAGCGACAACGCTAGCTCCTGCTTCAACCAGCATCTTAGCCATCAAGTATAAGCCTTCAGAAGCAGCGACATGAAGCGGCGTTCTGTGATCATAATCTTCAGTGTTTGGGTCCATACCGCTTGAGAGCAATCTCTTGAGAAAGTCAGAGTCGCCTTTCACAACTGCTGTACAAAGGAAGTTTCCCGAATCTTCTAAATCAAAAGAAGCTCCTTCTTTGACAAGCAAACCAATCACTCTTTCGTGCCCTGCTTTCACAGCTTCTAACAATGGCGTATTCCCGAATTTATCTGCGCAAATATTTGACCAAAGTGTAAACATAAAACAATGTAACGTTTCTCATTAGATTACGATATTGATTTCCATTTACCTTTTAGATTGATATCCACACCTTCTTGAATAAGAAACAATGTAATATCTTCGTATCCCCTACATGCTGCAAGATGCTGGATATGAAGAAGACATTTACAGGTTAAACAAAGAATCTTTCGTCGCGTAATAGGAAGATTGAAGATAAGAAAAAAACGTACAAGCGGTGATCTTCCATCGTAATCTGTTTTGTTAGGATCGGCACCAGCGCGGATTAAGCTCTTAAGCTGGTAAAAATCTCCTTGGAAAGCAGCACTGTTTACTTTCAATGCAAGCTCTGCTTCTTGTTTCCCAATGTGAATCATAACATCAGATTCTAGCTTTTTTATCCTCTCATTCGAATCCTTCCCCTGCGAAAACAGCGATCAGAGTTTCGAGATTTTTTCAATATAGTGTAAACCTTAAGAGAAAACAAAAGGTACCTCCATAAGATTGTTCAAGATTTTGCGTCCGTCTTGGAAATATATCTCGAGGATGTTAGAGAAAGACTGTTTATCTAGGCGTAAAAGATGAGATAGGTCGCAAACCCGAACGGTGAAAGGTTGAGAGATGTTGCAAATGATGGAGATATCTCCAAACGTATCGTGAGGTCCAAGAGCTGTCACAATCTCTTCTGATCCATCTGTTCTTGTAACAAGAGCTTCCTATAAAAGGCACAAATTGTGACAAATAAAAGAGAGAAAAAAACACACAAACACATATGAGATTTTTACGTACCAATGAGCCTTCACAAACGAAATACAAATTATCCACGACGTTTCCTTGCTCTGTTATTACTTCTCCTGGAAGAAAATACTCTTCATGGAGTCTTATAACTATCTGGTTAATAAACTCCGAAGAGCAGCCTTTGAAAAGATTGACTTTCTTAATGTAACGCAAGTACAACGATTGCGCAATCTGCAGAGCAAAAGAAAATGTATTTAAGTATCATGAAACTACTAACTTAGCCTGATTTAGTTTCCGGACCGGAAGAGTACAGAACATGTTGGTAAAAAGGATAAAACCAATTAGGGTACCTTTGCACGGATTGAGGCTGGGATGTCTTGAAGCATTATAGTGTCGGTATAGTTACTATCGTACTGCAATCTCACATGACCTGTTATCTCACTACGAATGCGTCTCCCGAGCTTTTTGCGGTTCATGAAACTAATGAGATCATTCATTTTATCTCTAAATCTCTCTGTGTTTGATCCTTTCACAATCAAAGCAGTGATGTTACCGATCAAGTATGCACCGAGAACCATATCGAACGAAACATATACCATTACGAATATCATTTCCCTCAGATTAACCGCGTGTATGTCTCCATAACCTGAAACCAAAAAAAAGAACAACCACCATCAGTCTCTTTGTAATAACTAATCAAATGATCGTCATATATGATCAAATTTTTGTCTTTTTTATACCGACAGTGGCCATAGTGACAATGGCGAAGTAGAGAGACGTGATGTAACGTTTCCAAAGATCGATTTTTCGGAAGTTTTCGTAGCTGTAGTCTCCCAACTTGAGACTGCCGATCCATGTGTAGCCCTCGTTTTCTGGAGGAAGAGTGGTGGCCAAGTAATAGAAGATGCAAGCAGCTGTGTGAGTGCAGTAAATTTCAACGAACAAAAGCTTCAAGATTCTAGTGAAGAGATAGTTAATTCTTGTGTCTCTCTCAAGCCTTCGGAAAAACTCAATCACTTTGCGCACCCGAAACAATCTTATCCACAGTATGTACCTCACCAGCTCGTGTTTCCCTGATACCTAAACACAAAACAAGGTTTTTAATTTTAAGGGTTAATTTGCCAAATAGCCATAAAAACAAATTTATCTAAACAAGTAACTAAAAGCCTTAAATCTAATGGATAAGATTTGGCCACATAGGGTAGTTTTGGTAGATATAATTTTTTTCTTGGTAGGAATCTTTAAGGCTTTAGAAAATATAAAAATCTTGAAAGATTGTTTTTTGCCAAACATGATTTGGTGTCTTTATTATTTTTAAAGTCTTAAAAGTTTGTATTTTAATGTTTCTTCTTGTTCTGCCTATTTTTTCTAAAGTCACGTAAAGATGACTTTAACTATGCCAAAATAAATAA